GTCACGCAACGTTTGATACAGGAAGTGTAAAGTGTGCTCATCTCTGAGGTATGAATGGTGTAGGCTATACTTTGCATGTGTGTCTCCTGAAGGATTACTGCTGCACAGTAGAAGTAAAGCCAGATAGAAGCCAACAAAGAAATTATTTCAAGCCTCAAACTCCTCAAGGACTTGTCTGCAGCTTTTGAGCTTATCACTACATCCTCAGCAGTGACTTGAGTTTGCTCACTTGTCCTGAAATCGTGTCACTGTAGGACTGTCTGCCTGTGTTAACTGATTGCATTGGTTAGTGGGTCAGCAGGGAGCATGTGAAAAAAGCCAAAAGCTCCAGCGAGTCTTATAAATGGACCTTGAGGGCAATGTTTGCTTGAGTGACTCTGCAAACACAAGCAGCTCATCTTAAATCCAATGACTGGCTGCTAATGTGAATGTCTGTTGTCTGCTTCAGAGAACCGTCTCATCTTAGATGCCTTCGCCCAGCAGTGCAGCCGAGTCCTCAGCCTCCTCAACAACGGGCGTCTCCTGGAGCCCTCCTCCTCCTCCTCCATCACCTCTAACATTAAGCTGGAAGACGGGCCAGGGGACACTCAGGGGCTTCATTGCTCCTCACAGGGGAAGTCTAAATCCGAGGAGAGCTCTTCCACCACAGACCCTGAGGAGGAGGCTCAACAAAGCCATTTGAACCAACAACAGACCTCTGCAGTTCTCCGCATCTTCACAGACTCCCTGCAGAACTATCTGCTCTCAGGACCTCAACAACAGCACCAGCAGCAGCAACATCTGTCTGCTAGTCTGGAGGACGAGCAGTGCCCAGCACCTGAGTCTGGTTCAGGAGTGTCTCCTCCAAGACACAACCTGGGAGGATGGGGCTCCCCGACTCCATCAGAATCATACGGCCACCCCTCGTCCACACTGCCTGAGGAGGAGGAGGAGGAGGAGAACTGCTGTCCTCGCTGCCTGGAATTAGAGCAGGAGGTGTTGTCTCTGCAGCAGGAGAACGAGGAGCTCCGCAACAAGTTGGAGAACATCCCAGGTGCAGTAATAACAGCCAGGACACAGTGATGACTGCTTTAACCCTCACTCAACTGGGGACAGGAAATCTCTTCATCCCACAAATCTTTTTTTTATATGCTGCCATCTGACTTTTGATTTCATGTGCACGGCATTAATCGGTACCGATGATACACATCAGTGCTATTTACAAAGCGTGTTATCGAGGGCTTCTGGGTAGTTGGTTTGCTTTATACTCTTATCTACTCGTATACACGTAACATGCATAGCATTTGTGTTGACATCATCACTGGAAGGACAGCAGAATCAGAGTCGGATTCTAATATAAACATTTAAAGTCCATGTAGTCAAATCCATACGTGTCATCTTTCTTACAGCGTTTATATGAGTGTTTGTTTTCATCTGTGAAAAATACTGAGCACAAAATGTGCTTGTGAGATCAACAAATTATTAGGAAGTGCTTCATTTTCTTCCTCATGCTTTTGCAATCTAAATGCATCCCACAGTTTCAAAAGTGTGTTCAAAGCATCTATTTTTGTTAACTTGTCTGCTCTCCCCGAAGCATCCTGAGCTCCCTGTTGTCACACTAGCCTAGTTTGCACTAAAACAACTTATTTTAACTGCACATAAAATTCTGTGTACAGTGTCTGATCGTGAAAAACCAGGTTGTAAAGATTTGTTAGAAAGGAAGAAAACAGCAGGGTGTTTAAATGCAGCAGATGGGTCGTTCTTTGCTGCGATTCTGACCCTGGGCTTCTCTTTATGGTAACGTTCGCTTGTTTTTACACAGTTCCCTGTCAAAATGTTCTTGACTACTTCAAGACTGTTCTCGAGTTCCACAACCAGCTGGCCCAGCCGATGCCAGAGGAGCAGCTCACAGAGGTGAGGAAGCAGCCCCCTCTTCATTATTCAGAGCAGATGTCATCAGTAGCATATCTTAAGGTGGGGAAATATCACATCAGGTCAACAGTGCATTAGAAATGTCTTCATGCGGATAACTGTGAATGTAAGTGATGTGAAATTAAAAGCTCTGTCTATACAGGAAGAAGAGCGGCAAACAGTCTTTGAGGTTTGTGTCTTAACTTCTTGTTTGTTTGTTTTTAATTACATGATAGAAATGTCATGGAAAGCAACATCTTTAGTTTTCTCCTCCTCCTCCTCACAGGGCAGTAAACAGCTCCTGGAGAACTATCCGCTCTTCATCACGAATAAGCAGTGGGACGAAGCTGTCAACTCCTCTAAGAAAGATGGCAGACGGCTGCTGCGCTATCTGATTCGCTATGTCTTCACCACAGATGAGCTCAAGTTCTCCTGTGGTTTAGGCAAAAGGAAGCGGTCAGTCCACTCAGGAGAGGCAGGCCTGGAAAGACGACCGCTCAACCCTGTTAAAGTCAGCTGCCTCAGAGGTAAAACTACAAAACATTATAGTTCGAGACATATTTTAAATAGGAGGAAAACATTACAGGTTATTACTGTTTAAATACAGAAGATGTGGCCAGTTTCTATTTACGGGTCTGTTTGCTCAAAAGGTCTTTTTACAAATTGCTTCACTCAAGGCTTGAATCAAGTGTGTGAAATATCCTGAGACCTTTATTGACACAGTTGTATGACTCTCATGTTAATCTTTTAATTCTAAAATATGTTATTAGTGTTGCTTGATTGCCATAAGTGGCTTTCTCATTAGAGTGCTCCACTTCTTTAAACCACTGACAGACCTTAAAAGCAGCAGCAGCAGCTATCTACAGTCTAAGATCTGATACATATGGGGTTTGTGGTCATGTGATGCAGATTATAGCAGCTTAAATTAAAGTTGTCTTAACTCCGGTTGCTAGGCAAAACCAGGAAAGTTTATGTGCTATTTACATCTTACATCCAGAAAGCAATCAGATCCCTTCACATTTTGCTCTGGATTTAGTTTTAATGGATAAAAGTGCCCTTGTCCTCATGTTTGCCTTGTGGCAGTGTGGATGGTGGAACCTTACACTCATGGGTTTGCTTTTCCGAAACTGAGTCCCATACGTTCATTTTGCCACATATGGACTCCAATCAAGGTTAATTAGCTCCTTAAGTCGTTGCCTTTTTTAATTCGATTTCCACCTGAAAAAACATCCCTGACTTTCATCGGTGAAAGCTCAAAGCTGTGAGGACCAAACGAGCAACTGTGGGAGAATTTTGAAATTTGAATTTTCTGCATACTCATTTCTCACTGTATACAAAATGTTATGTGACCGCAGTGAAGCACAACAATGCTATATCCATTTAGACTTTTGAACTTTGAGTTGAAATCTATACGGCTGTGTGTGGTAGAAGGCATTCTAATAAACTGGATGCATCTGCTTATCTTAGAGAGCCACAGCAAAGAGTCACACTACTTGTAAATGAAAGATTTCACTTTATGCTTTTAGTAAGTTTGCAAAAAAGAAACTTGAAACACATTTTTGTGTCTTTTTGGTTATTTGAGCATAGACTGATGGGACAAAGTGGGCATTTTTAACCATTTAAAATTCAATACACTATCTGTCCGTCTAAAAATGCTATTTAATAGACGGACAGATAGTATTTAGCAAAATAAAATACATCTCTGGATATGAAACACAAACTCATGATGGTGTAAATAAATATTTCTAAGTTTCAAAGGGGATAGGTAGAAGTCTAACACTTACCGTTATAAAAACAACCAAACAGAAAACTGAGCTTTATACGAGCTACCGTCATTCTCATGGCTACAGTTATATGTGCGTTACAATAATAATGGAGTGTAACAGCTAGATGAGCAATATTCCCTGAATGAAGCAGAAAAACCAAACCACTTATTTACCGATTTAATCCATCCTCATAGCAGGAGTCTATGATGAGTTTTTTTCTTCTGTTTTACTCTTGTATAGTATTAAAACTAATGTAAATATTACATTTTTAATATAGTTGATATGTGGCTTCCAGCATAGTTTAATATTTATTATCAACCATGGAAATTTAATTTGTATTTTTTAAATTCAATATTATTTATCATAATCATCTCACTGCTATAGATCCAGCAGTTTCCAAATATCATATATTTAGTTTTACTTAAGTTAAATATTAATTTGTTATTATCAACCCAGATTTTTAATGTATTTAATTTTTACATTCTGAAGTTGTTCCAAGTCATTACCACAGCACCTTAGCCTGTTGTTATCTGTTGTTTGTAATGTTCTTCTAATTTTACGCATATTATTCATGTTCTAAATGAACTTCAGTGGTCCTAACACAGATCCCTGAGGAACTCGACGTCGCAGTTTTAAATTGTGAGTCGATATCAGTCGATCATCAAAGATTGAACTTTTTGGGTTATTTCCTTCCTCTTTTGAGCTAAACACCCAAACACCACCCAGTAAGCCCAGGATGTCCTCTGTTTAGCACGTCCTGTCTTAGTAAGGTAGCTCAAATAAGTTGAAAGGTACAGACCAAAAAAAAAATTTTATTTTTTAAATTCCTAATCTTGCCAGAGTTTATCCGGATGCACTGTGCTTCAAACCCCGACTGGTGGATGCCCTCTGAGGAGCAGATCAACAAAGTGTTCAGCGATGCCGTCGGTCACGCTCGTCAGGGCCGAGCAGTCGGCACCTTTTTGGGCAGCAGCGGCAGCAGCACCAGCAGCCTGTACATGGACGGCTTTGACGGACATCTTTCACAGGATGAACTGTATTTAAAAAGCTGCCAGAACGGTCAGTCGGATTGAAGTTTAAGGAGAAGTTAAAGACAAATGCCTGAAATGTAGCTGTACAACAACATATCCCAAAACTCTGACCTTATCCTGTCACTTTACACAGTGAAGAAAACATTCCAGAAGACGTTTAACATATAGACTACAGTCCTCCTTTTCAAATAGTTTTATAGTTTTCCCCATTTTTATACCTAAACCCTTTGTTTAGTGAAAATTGGACTCTTGGAGGTTTTAAATTGAACAGGTTGAGTCTTCCATATGCTCCTTTTTTAAAGTTTGAGCAGTTACATCACTGCCAGTGGAAAGAAGTCACTTCAAGGAGGCTGATTTCTTTTTCTTTTCTTTGTTTTTACTTGTTTTTTTACAATCTACATGTGCATTTAGACTTCATATGGAAGTTATTTATGTTAATGACCCAGTTAGAGACTTGTATGTATGTACCATTGACACCACTTATAAACTTTACCATGGAAAGTAGCACTTAATATATATTTTTTGTCACTGGTGAAGCACCTTTACTTGCAGCCCTTCAACAGGAGTGCCTCTGAGAAAATCATGTTTTGTTATTTGTAGTTTTGCACTTTGAATCTCTTTATTTTTCCCTCATTTAATGGAAGGAAAAGTGCATTTAAAAGAGAAAAGTTTGTGAAATGTCTTTGAATCCAGCCTCCTTTGGCTGGAAAATGTTTCAATCAATGCTGCGTTGCTCCTAATCTTCATGTTAGGAAGAATATCGCAAGTTAATCAAAAGCACTATATTGGAAATTGCTAAAATGTAAAAAGTCAGTTTGGTTTTGACCCAACTTCCATTTTTGGCTTGTAAGAATTCCTCACGTCTGCAAAGGACACATGACATTTCTTGTTTGAATTACTGTGTGTAGCAGTGATATAATACTGATGTTTGTCCACATAATAAACAAAAATTGCAGATTTAAGGAAAAAATGGAAGCCTGGGAAATGTTAATCAGGCTGTATCTTTTTATTTGAATGTTTGCATTTTTTACATCAATGTTTTTTTTCCTTTGCATTCTGAAAATTTGGAATTCAGCTAAAAGAGAATTTGCGGTATTTCGCGAGCATCCCCTTATTACAGTGTTGCCGTACTCGAGCATTTCATGTCGGCATTGATCAAGACATCTGGTTTAAGGCAGCTGCCATATAATAATGCCTTAAACTCGTTTGGAGACCACCACAGTGTAAAGTGTTAAAGATGTGTGTCAGAAATCCTGTAATGTGTTTCGTTTGTGTGTCGGTCTAAAGTTTCTTTAAACGTCAATCCAAGTGGAAAAAATGTGATCACTTCATCGTTTTCCTGCAACTTCTCCAATTTGCACCTTTGAGTGTCTTACTGTAGGCAAGGCAATCCTAAAGTGAGAAGTCCACGTGCAGGATTCAACCACTTTTATTCTTTTGTGCTTATTTGACGCTCATTGACTTCACCTCACGACACTGTTTTCTGCGTTTGAATGTACCAGATTTCTTAGGTCAGTCCGCCAAGTTGACAGTGCTGTGTAAATGTGTAATATAAAGTACAGTTATTGTGTGAGGTGTCTTTGAAATACCACTTCTCCCTCTTTAAAAAGCCAAGTAGAAAAGTGCCACAGAAACCTTAAACCAGTCGGATTCTGTTGTTGTGTTGCTGTTCTGAATGTGAGCGTTGGTTTGTATTTACTCCTTTACCCTCAAAGTGGCTGTTATCAACACTGTGAAACATCAGTTGGGTTTTTACAGATATAGTTTCTGTTGTTTTTTATTTATAATAAATAAAATAATACCTGAATCCTATCTCTCTATGAAACAGTATTATCTTTGTGACATTAAAGTTTGTCAAATCCATTTTCTAATAGAGTGATCCATCTGCTGGATTAATACTGTATGTACTTGTTAAAGACGGCCTTTTGTGCCGGCTGGGATCTTGGCAAGAAAAGCAAACATTATACATTTAATCCATTCACAGGTCATTTCACTGTACCAAAGCAACAAAGAAGGAGACTAAGAGCATTCATCTTCAGTATTAACTTCTTATGTTCTGCCAGTCAGAGATCTATCATTGACAAATACAGCTATTGTTAACAATGTTAATGTTTACCACATAACTAATAATAAACCAGCTGGTACATAATTTAAATACATAAATTATCCTAAAAAATGTTGAAAGCATTATAAATGTTTGACATTAGTATTTTTCACATGTGGGTCGGAGACTGTAAAATTTCTTAGGCAGGCTGCTGTTTACTTGTTTATGAATAATAGAAACACCTGTTACTGTCCCGCTCCTTAAGCTATAACACTACATCATATTTTATATCTTAATTTTATGAATCGGCAGTGGAATTAGCTGTAATATATGTGTAGTAGAAGAAAAGGTGCATAATTCAGACGAGGGATGAAATAGAAGTCTTGTAAAATGGAAATGTTTAAACAAGCCACAAAATCCTGTGGGAGATACTACAGAAATACAAAACTGCAGTACGTGTGCACAATAGAGTATTCATGGTAAGCTTAAAAACATCATCATAGCTAATCTGAAGAAAAAGAGAGGATGACAGGATGTGTTGTGTGCTTGTGCACAGCAAAACCAATGTGTGATTAATTAATAATCTAGGTAGGGAATGAAGGCAGGGTGGGCAGGTAATTTTCCAAAGTGTCAGGTGAGAATCTAGGGAACCACGTCAGCTGTCATTGACTGTATGGCAGAAATGTCCTTTTAGTCCGTTTAGGTGTTTGCCAGGTGACTTCATATCATCTTATTACACCAGATATATCACAACATTCATGTTTTGTTTTAAATTTCTTTGCTGTCAAATTAAAATATCCTTTCCTAAGGTGGGGGACGTTGAAGTTCATAAACTTCAGACTTACTCAGCAAGGAAGCAAAGAAACCTCCTTGGACAGTCACGAACATTTGGCTATTGTTAAACAGCCTATATGTTAATATTTAAATCAGTCATTTGTGATTCAATGGTTTATTGTAGCTTAAGGGACATGGTCACCTAACGTAATATTATAGTAACTTTTTTTCTAGGCACAGTAAGCCAGGTAAACTTCAGCTGCATAAATATGAGAGCATTTTTACAACAATTACATAATGTAACCGAGATAACAAGGAATCCGTTTGTGGTAAACAGCGCATAAAATTAGAAAGTCTGTAAACAGTTGTGTAAACTGCATGTATGACTGACCTGTCTCTGAAATCCACTAGATAGCGCTGCAGCTCCAGGATAATGTCCTCGGGAAAGGATTTTTTATCCCAACTAATATCATTTTTTTTATTATTGTTGTTGTTTTTAGAGCTCTCACAGGAAAAGGAGCTAGCAATATATTTTCATACATTAAAAAAAGTTTGATCACTTTTAGGAGTATAAATAGTTAAAATTATACGGATCAGTTTTCATTTGCCATTTACAAAACCCGAGTAATTTGTGACCTGGAGGCCCATATAACTGGTTTTACATTCAGCTGTCTGGTTGGAAACAACAGGCGAACACACTAAAAGGCAGAAAAACAGGATGAGCTGCAGAATATTTGGCTTTGACAGAAGGTTCCGCCCAGAAACTTCAGTAAATCCATTTCCCGCATATTAAGCGAAGCTGCTGAAGCTGGTCTTTCTGGCTCAAACGCACTGACGTCGGCTCTGAGCAGAGCTTCTGCGCGTCGGTGGATCTGATGAAGCTTTGTTGGGTGTTCCTCTTTAATTCTGCGGCATCTCTCTGGTTGTCTGCGGGCCCGTGGAGGAGGGCGGGCCGTAAACGCTGGGCAGATCTGTGGACTGTAAACTAACTGATGCGACGTGAGCCGAGCATGGATGATCTGAGCACGCAGCTCACCTAACGGGATTTGCATTTATTGAGTCATGGTAGTATGCGAAGCTGGAAGTTGAGCAGAAGCCGAGTCTGCTGTCTGGAAAGTGACCTCGGATAAACCCTCGGAGGCTTGGCCGACTTTGGACATTTTCTGCAGAGGTTTTTTTGCGCAGCGCGGAAACTCCAGCACAGCGTGAAGGGGGATGATCTCCTAATCGACTGATAAAACACGCCACTAAGTAAATTAACGACTGCTGTCGCACACGCAGGGCCCCTTTGTAGCGGTGCAAGATGATGTCACTGATAGATCTGGACGATGATCAGAGATGGGTGCCCACTCATGTGAATGTCACCGTCCTCCGCGCAAAGGGACTGCGAACCAAGGGCAAGCATGGCAGCCGCTACCTCTACACCATCATCCAGGTGGGGAAGGAGAAGTACACCACCGGCCTCGTGGAGAAGGCGGAGGTGCCCGTGTGGAACGAGGAGTGCTGCTTCGAGCTGCTTCCCGGGATCCTAGAGGATGGCGGCCGGAGCGCCTACCCCCCGGGGAGCGGGGACCTGGTCCTCACGGTCATGCACCGAGTGCTTATCGGGCTGGATGTGTTTCTCGGTCAAACCATTATACCTCTTGATAAGATATTTCATGATGGAGTGTGTCCAAGAGATGAGTAGGTTGGCTTTTTATTAGTGCAACTTGCATGCCAAACGTGTTGTTGTTTTCAGTTTAGTGCCACAAAGAAGTGATGTGTCTTTTTCTTTTTTTGTCAGACTATGACAAGATTATGTGAATGATGCGCAACTTTCAGGTCTTCATTAAAAGCATGTAGTTCATGAAAGACCTTGGGAATAGTTCCCATCTCACGCAGCAGTGATTATCAGTCATGTGCAACATTACAGCCCAAAAGGCAGCAGCTCCTTCCACGGGAGACTTTAGCAGTGGAATCAAATGTGCTGTTTTTGCAGGATGACGAAGAGGTTAGAAAGCTGCCAAGCCTTTAAAACTCGTTACACGCTGGCTCTTTGGCCCCCTGTCCCGATACGGAGATACTCCAGCAGCAGTTCCCACAATGCACCGCAGAAATATGAGACGAGATGCAGTTTTCACTGAGATCCATTGTAGCCAGAAGACCTCCATCTTTATCCCACATCATTTCAAAGGAGACATTTTCTCCAACTTGTAGGAGAATAAAAACATGACCTGTAAATAGGTTCCCATTAAAGAAACCCATTAATGCTTATATTCAGGATAAGATAAGAACCAGTTGAAGTAAAAGGCCAAAATATTGGCCAAACAAGACTACAGTTGCTCTAAATGAAGTGTATCGCACTAAGCGCATTTGTTATAATCAAACCCACTGTCTTACCTGGCCAAGCTGGAGAATCTCTGCAGGACTTCTGCATCCAGTTGTTGGCTGTCAAGTTGTCACAAAAGCTCCAGTATTATTTTATTTTAATGCTTTTTGCAGATTATTAACTCTGGCTTCCTTTTTTAAAACAAAAGCTGTTTATCTTTGCTTTTTGTTTTTCAGTAATACAGTCGAAGAAAAGACACCAACAAAATGTTACAGCTGTATGCACGCATGCATTTTCTAAAAAAGACATCCTATTTGATGCTTTGAAATGATTTCATGTGTCTGAAAGTTATTAAACAGAAACAGTATTCAGTTTATAGAAGCATCATTCTTACACGTCTACCTTTTAAAATACTGAATTTTTTCTAGCCTTTTCTCCCCACTTAGGCTAGATTCTCCTCCCAATCCAAAGGGCTC